GCAACACGTGCACGTGCACCCGGTGGTTCATTCATTTGTCCATAGACAAGTGATACTTTTGAACCTTTACCTTTAAGATCAATAACTTTAGTTGTTATCATTTCATGATATAAATCATTTCCTTCACGGGTACGTTCACCAACACCAGCAAATACTGAATAACCACCATGTGATGTAGCAACATTATAAATTAATTCCATGACCAAAACAGTTTTACCTACACCAGCACCACCAAATAAACCAATTTTACCACCTTTAGCATATGGTGCTAATAAATCGACAACTTTAATACCAGTTTCAAGTATTTGTTGTTCAACATTCATATCAGTAAATGGTGGTGCATCAGCATGTATTGGTGCAAAATCCTCAGCATTAACTGGACCACGTTCATCAATTGGATCACCAATGACATTTATAATTCTACCTAATGTTGCTGCACCAACTGGAATTTTAATTGGTGTACCAATATCTGTAACTGGTTGTCCACGTACAAGACCTTCTGTACCATCCATAGCAATTGTTCGAACAGTATTATCACCTTTTAAAAGATTAAAAAATAAATAAACTTTTTTATTTAAATTATTTTCTTTTCATTACCTAAATGTTGTGCAACTTCAAGAATTAATTTTGGTTGACGACCATCAACTTGAAGTGCATTAAGAATTGGTGGTAATTGTTCATCAAATTGTACATCAACAACGGCACCAATTACAGATACAACACGACCTTTAGCACCTTTAGCAGCTTGTTGACCTGTTTGAGTTTGTGTAGATTTTTGTTGTGCTGGTTGAGCTGCGGCATTACGTTTGCCAACAACTATTATAGAAAATAAAAATTAGAACAGAATGATTTTATTTTAAGATTTATATTTACTATGAAAATTAGCTGTTGGTTGATAAGCAATTCTTGACCATCTTGGATTAGCAAATGTATTACGTTGTTTACCGAGTACTAATTGTGCAACACTACCTGCTCGTCGACAGGCACATCGAATGCCCTGCATGATTTTACAACTATAGAATCTAAATTAAAGAAAAATATAAATAAATGAATTGTTCATGTGAATAAGAAAAACAAAAATTGGAGTCTACACACCCGAAAAAACAACTGATATTATTCTTTAATGAGGTTAGATGATAATAATAATGGCGATCACTTTTTATTTTATTGAAGATTTTATTTTACTAATTTTATTTAGAAAAAAAAAGGATAAAATTACGAAAAAAAATTATATTCTTACTAAATATAACAAAATAACTATGATAACATACTTATGCACTTTCATTTAAAGGTTAATCCTTAGTAACTGAGACGAAAATGATTAGGATTTTAATCATATCAAATGTAATAACTATAAAAAATAGTGTTTATATCATCATCGGCTAATATATTTTATTAAGAATCACTTAAATATTACGGTCATTACAGATCTAAGAGTAAGCCAAAGACATCAGTGACATCTGTCAGATAACAAAACCAAGTATTTCATGTTATGAAGAATAGCTAGTAGAAATCAATACATGGGTAAAGTTACCATCAGATTCGAGTCTTTACCGTCCGGATTCATTCGTGTACTTGAGTTAGGTGCAGAATTTTACAGTGAATCTGATAGTGTAAAGATCAAGAAGGGTCATCGAGCAAAATCTGACACTCGAATCTGAAATACTGAATTTTTCAAAATTTTTTGAAAAGTATTTGCTATTTCATTTGAGTTGGGTTCAGTATGAAATTCTACATCGAATGATATCGATTTAGTATCGAGTTATCGGGCAAAAATTTATCCATATAGATGAGGGTGAGGTGAAAAATTTTTACTCGATAATCCTCCTTGATCTTTACACTATTGGATTCGCCGTTAAATTCTGTACCTAACTCAAGTTGAACGAAATATAACTCAAGTACATGAATGAATCAGAAAGACAAAAACTCGACTTTGGTGCTAACTTTACCTACGTGAAATCAATAAGATTAATGTCAAATTCGAAATCGAAATTAAAATGAAATCTAACGGTTCTATTGATGATCTTCAATATTGGTTTTAATGCTTTGAATTGTCACTTTGCAATGGTATTGTGTGCGATATTTTTATTTCACATTCTGCCAAAGAAAGACAAATGATATTTCTGTCTAAAGTCGTCAAGAAGCTATAAAAATTGACAGTATTAAAAATTTTAGCAGAAAATCAAATTCTGATTGAAAAAAAATTTAGTCGAACGAAGAATTCACGTTGTACTTCCTCCATTAAACTCAGTTTTATAAGAATATTAGCATAGTATAATTTAGGAAAATGACCCAGATTTTTTGAATGTTTATTACCTTTGTGAGACATTTTCGTGTACACTCTTCATACGACCCTCGCATGGCGTCTGTTGATACTCTCTGTTCGAACATCCGTCTCGTTCCTTGTCTTTTTTTTGTATTAAACTCAAGTATATATCTTGAAAAGCAGACAATGGCTACAGTGATCTTTCGAAAATTTTAAATATATATTTTCTGTCTATTCTGTTTGAATTTCAAGCGCTAAAAAACTTCGTTTCGCTGGATATATTTCAATAACTCGAAACATTTTCAATAATGTGACTAGTTCTATGTGTTGTAGTTCAATAAAGATTAATGATCATGATAAGCATCAAGCTAATTTTCTGACAAAGATAAGTATATTTTAGTAATAGATCATTAAGTATTTTAGATTCCATTTTCAACTATTCTCAAGTATCAACATTCACCTGATGTTCTTGAAGACTAATACTAAATTATCTATTTTTATTAACAAAAGAATTCATTATTTAATTTATAAAAAAATTCGTCCTATATATATTTCAATGATCATCCAACCGGCCTTTCGATAGGTATTTCGATGCGTCGATTTAAAATTTCCATGGGCATTGAAGTTGTAAACGGGCTTCTTGGATTCTCACTTTCCGACAGGTCAATACAATGCTCAGTTTTCGACCAGCCGAACGATTTTTATCGAGGGGTCAAAATAAAAAGGAGTGTTTGTCTATAGATGCCTCATTCTTGAGTCGTCGAAGTCTATCGAATAAACGCAGAAGAAAAGATTTGAACATGGATACTTACAATTAATATTCATTGAACATCTAAACGGAATATGAATGATTGTTCTTCTATGAAAGTTACCTTTTCAATTCTTAGAAGGATGGTATTTTTAAAATTGTTATTTTAACATTTGCTAATAGTTTTCGAAAATTAAAAAAAAAACTTTTCAATCGAATAAACGCAGTTTTTGCATGTCTCAGATGCCATATAATGAGTTTATTTGATAAATAATTGATTTGTATGAAAAAGTATAAAATCAATATTAAAAAAAAAATTTTCAAACATTCAAAACGCAAAATTCTTAATGGTTGTATTTTTCGTCAAAAATGCTTATGAATTCTAGTCTGACTTGTTATTTTTCATCAGTTAATGTTAAATATTTTTTAGAAAATTATTAAATTAAGAAAAATATATGTTGAACACAAAATACCCTACGATCTTTGTAAATCACTTAATAATTTGCTTCTGATATGTTTCTTTCCTTGAATAATCGAAGCTTTGATGAGTCGAAAATGGACGTCCGATAGGATACAGTTTCCGAGTGGGTAGAATACGATGACTGCCGAGAAGCTCGGAATCCAGTCAAACGCTAAAGCTTCGAAAACGCGTGTATTTACAGAAAATCTTCGGAAGCTTACATTTATTTGCAAAATATTTTTCAAGTTGTTGTATCTCATGCGTGAACAAGCAAAGCTATTTCAAATATTTGCAACTATTGCGCATAAGCGCAAGACAATAGCATATGCATGGAAATACAATTTTCCAAGTTTTTAAGCAAAACATGCAAGATTGTACATGACTCTTATCCTTGCAAATAGTTGCATACAATATTATTGCATGTTTATGAAAGATATATGACTCGCATGTAAATTGCAAAGTATTATTGACGTGTATCTGCAAGGTGGCTAGCATCTTGCTAAATTCTGCATGTCAATGCAAAAAGGTCGTATTTACGAAAATTATTACCAAAGGGATTCTGCGTCGTCATGCAAATTTTTTGCAATTTTGTAGTATACATGCTTCTCCATGCAAGGATTTAGTTTTTTTTCTTTGGAATGTATTTATTTATTTCTCATTAAAATGAAACCACTCTCATGCATCCACACTGCATTAGCTCGAAAGACAAGTATGTTGTAATATAGATAGAAAGGTAGATAGATAGATAAGCATGTCGCTCAGTGATAATATCATTGATAAATGTCATGTACTGGGTTGTATATGCCTTAGGAAAGTGCCTTTTATGAGGGACTACAGAGTCATTTATAGAGCCGCTTTCTGAACAATCCCTAGGAATTCCCGATGAACTGTCTTAGAAATTCCTAGAAACTCCCTGAGAACTTGCTGAGGAATTCTCAAGTAAGGCTTTCAGTTTTCATTACACTTTTAATGTAAGTGAATGGTCGAATAGTGAAGAAGTTCGTATTATAAAGCAAAGCATATGTGTTCGAATCTTATCTAAAAGAAAACTCCTGCGTGTTCATGTATGTTTACTGCATATGCTTCGTTTTTTGGTCAGTCTAAAATTGTCTTGGATGTACATGCGTGGGTTCTCTACAAAAGTGTTCCTATGTCTTTGTATGCAGTGCCAATATTAAATCTGTAAACGCATAAAATTTCATGCATGTAAACGCGAATATAGTTTACTCTATGACGCGTTCCCACGCATGTACATGCATTTTATAAGCTTTCGTGTTTGGCCGGAAATTGAAACGGAACGAACAAAAATATATATTTGAAATTTTCGAGCGCTCGTCGCACCCATTGTATGCTTTTTAAAGTCTGGTCGAGCATTTTGATGAAAGATCATCTCGATGGGCCAATTTTCCATAGGTGTTCTTTCGATCAATATTCATGTTGACAACTAATGGCAACGTCACTTGCCTATTGATGACGCCTTCAAACAGTATCTTATTGAATGTTCATTGATTATTCAAATAGGCGGTATCTCTCGTTTCACTCGTTTGTTTCATTGTTTAAAAAACCTAGTTAATATTCCATTTTTTTCCTCTACTAAAAACTACTATTGAAATTTTCATATACCTGCATGAGTTATCAATCGTAAAACAATGTAGAGATTGTTTAAAATAATCAAGCGTGTCTAACACAATTAGATTCTCGTTTCCAACATTGTATGTTACGTAAATTGATGTTATAGAACTCGTCAACTCATCAGTCAGACTACATCATTTCGTTCTCTTTCGAAATGAGCAATTTAGTGTTCTATCCAAGAACATAATTTCGTAGTCCTCTTGTGTAAGAATATCATCGACGACATATAGAAAAAAAGAAACGACGATAACGTAAGTTCATATCTCGTTCGTTCTTATGCGATACATACGGTGCAGCATTTCCCTATATTCGAATACGTTTAGACCCATCACAAGATCGGATGAATATCGAGATCAAAATGTGTTAATTTGGGTAAACATAAAATCTCATCTATCAAATCAGTAAAATCTTCGGCATATTCGTTTAAACATATGTTCCTCTTCAGATGAGTCAAATGGAGTTTTGAATACCGATGGAAACCGTAGTGCGAAGTTACCGCGGTTTTGGCGGTTTTGAAAAACCGCATAAGCTGTCTGACTTTCGCGGTTTCGAAAAACCATTGATTACCGCAGCTTGAAAAGCCGCAATCTCTTGCAGTAATCATTCAAAAATTTTTCCATGGGATAAATGTATGTCACTCGATGCAATTTTTCGTGCTGATCTCGAATATCACGTTTATTTTGCATGAAAATCAACTTCTGATAGTCAAAATCACGAAGAATGACCTCAGTTTCATGTCAATTTGCCATTGATACGAGAAAAATGTGCTTTCTCAATAATGGTACAATATTTTTTTTAAATGATATGTAACTTTTTTCCTGATCTTATGATGAGTAAAATGATATTAAATTATTGGGTTAATAATTAAGCTGGCGAGACTTGAAACTTTTGCCGCATGCTCTAGTCAATTATTTTCAGAGGTTCTCTTAGGTCCAACAGCTTGCTGATAATTTATATGGAAACATCCTGAAATCTATGTTGATAAAGACACTTTTTCATGCTGAATCTAAAAAAACACGCTTTTGAGCTGTTTGAACAACAGCAATAGCCAAAAGAAACTAATTCTCTTGAAAATTTCGCATATTTTCTCTGTGTACAAAAAAAACCGAGTTCTTTTGTCTGTCAAAAAGAGGATCTGAAATATTTTAACATACATATTCTTGCAGTTATAAAAAGAGAGAATGAGTAATTCATTTTTCAACATCAAAAAGTTAGAAACAAACATAATACAACATAGCCACAATTGTCTTTTTAATCCTATTATTTTGCTTGTTAACCTTAAAGGAGCATCAAGAAGAAACCGATTATCTTTTCGTGCTCTTACCAAACAAAAACCAATCTCATGACCTTTATTATAATCTTCTTTCTCTGTTTGTGACAATACTCCTCCGCTTCTGTCTCTTATTTTTATCTTTTTAACTTTGAGAAGCAACCTTGAAAAAAATCATGATACTGGAAAGAGACAAAACAGAATAAAGAATTAGTTGATCCAAGATCAACATAGAGAGAGGGACGAAAAAAGAAGTAAAAATGGAGTAGAGAAGAGATATAAATATTTCGAATGTCACCATCAGTTTTTTCAGTATTAACAAAAGACAAAAAAATTCAGCGGTTAGATACTATTGAAGTAAAAACCAATCATATTAAATCTTATTTCTACTCCGTAACTTTACATTTCATACAAAAGAAAAGATGCATGTTACTATGAGGCAAAGTTTCTTCATCGGTAAGTCTTGTCTGTTTGTGTCTATGACTATAAAGTTGTCTTTCTTTTTTTTTTCCTTCATTTCTCTCTAGCTCTAACGTTCATTTTAATATGTCCGACTCTAAATCAACAAATTCTAACAAATATGCCATTCGACTGCAAAGGCCGTTTGGATGGTTTTTGGCGTGACTTGAGATACTGTGATGTATTTCACGCGTGTGTTGCCGGCGAACAAGTACGGTCGTACGGGTGTCCTCAAGTGGGAGAACGATTCTACTTCAGTGATACAACTCAAAGGTAAGTCCTCAGCTACGACGACTGGCTTCAAATCCTTTGTTAAGACTATGCCATTCACCCATTTTTTTTTGGGAAGCGCTTGATCTCAAGTGTAGGCTACAGTTCTGTAAGAGAAATACGACTGTTCCTCCTACCTTGAATAAAAGGTATTCAAATTTTTCAAATGTAGCGCACAAATGCAATCAAAAAATGCGAATGCTACAGATCAGCCTGAGTCGCCAAAATGAATATGTATTGTGTAGGTATGCACTGAGACAAGAGTCCCATCTCTTGCCTACGTAACTAACACTGTGTATTCTTAAAAATGTCTATGTCATTCAATAACAGATTTTATGATTGTTTGTCCATCTTCGTCTATAATAGATGCGAATTTACCTCTCAAAACCCTGGCGGCTGCCAGGCGAATCAGTATTATACTTCGATCTCGAATACACCAACGTCTTCCGGATCACAGCTTACCACACAAGGTAGGTTGAACAAACTTTATTTTTGTGACCTTTAATAACTGATGAAATGCACTTTCTTTTCTTCATGAAGCTCCCTCCGAACAATGGAGAATCTTTGCACAATCACGAGAACAGCATAGCTGTGCGGGTAAGAAAAATGTGCAGACCAATGCACACGACGTTTTTTTATCTAATTGAAAACTTCTTGGTTTAGGTCAACAGGAAGGATTCTACCCTAGTCGATGGTGTAATGTATTCTATCGTTGCTCTGATGGGATTTCCCGTGCATTTCTCTGTCCACTGCAGCAAGGTGGTGGACGTCTGTGGTGGATTGGACACGGATCGTCGCAGGTTGTGACGCAAGCAGCGGCAATGTGCATATATCCATGTGACACTGGTAGACAATGTTCAAGTGCTGGTGGAATTATTGTGGATAACGGAAATCAAATCAGTGAAAGTCAGCAAGCAGCTGAAACCGCGTATAGACAATCTTTGTGCTCCAATCAGACTTCACAAACGGGTGTCGGTACGGGAGGAATTCAGACAGGTTTAGGCACCGGTCAACAAGGTAAGAGGAAATAGTGGATTTCTTTTCTCTTGATGAAACTGTAGAGAGAAACAATGTGTGAAATGAACTATTCAACTATTCACTTCTGGTTTTTTTTCTACAGGTTCAGGTCAGACCGGTACAGGACAATCCGGCACGGGTCAAACCGGTACAGGACAGACCGGTACGGGACAATTTGGCACAGGTCAGACCGGTACAGGGCAGACCGGTACGGGACAATTTGGCACAGGTCAAACAGGAGGAGGAAATCAGGGTGGTTCATCGAACACAGGAGGTAAGCTATTTTCAATGATATCTTGAACCGTTTAGTTTGCTCTCGTTTGAAGAGACTGCTTCGATTGATTTCTTCATTCCGAGAGCAATAGCATTTGTCAATACAATGGCGCTTGTAACTTTTCTAGACTCTACTACATTTTTTACAGCGTCACATTCATGAGATCGATTCTAAAAGCAAAGCTTTTTTTGGGTATAGACCTTTAGGTTTTATTTTGAGAGTCCTTCTATTGAGCGAGTCAACACTCAGTTGACTAGTTAGTTGTTAAATATTTTTTGGCAGATTACATTCATACAAAGAGTAACTCTCCTGAGTTGCTATATAGTGAACGCCGACCTTATTTGAGGAGAGTGCTCGTTGCGCGTGCAGAAATCTTACAAAAAAAATTACGTCAAAAACTGATCAAGAGAGTCTCCACGACTCGATCAAGTATTACATTAGAAGGACGTCAAATGATCAAAACTGATTTATACTTTTTATTAGCTTAATTGATTCTACACATTAAATTGAGGTTATGAAAAACATTTTCAGAGCGCAAATTCTTATTTTTACTGAGTTGTAGATGTTACAAGTAAAGAAACTTCGAAAGAGCGCAAAAAAGTACACTCTGGATTGTTTTGCTTATAACTTTGCTAGCTTTTGTTCGTTCTCTTCAAGCAACGTTTCATTCGAAAAAGCATATAAAACTCACTATAATCGCGTGTCAATTCTTTCCGAAAATCTTAAATATCAACTGGAAAACTCATTTTTTTGCATGAAAGTCACACTTCTTCGAAACAAAAGACATGCCGTTCCAGTCAGTTTTACACGTTCTTTAAATGAGACTTGCTCGAAGAGAACGAACTAAAGCTGACAAAGTTATAAGCAAGACAAATTTGAACTGTATTTCACGCTCACTATACATTAAAATATCAACGTTATTTAATTGAGCATCGCAAAACTCATTCTCTTCTGTTTTTGACTAACTTCTGAACCGATTCGTCTTGCTTTACAAGAAGTACTATATCATTTTTTGAAAACACATGGCAAAATATACAGCTGAGAGAGTTTCGCAGCATACAACCTGCTCAGATACACATTTCTCAGTATGCATTTTAGATTCCGTCTGAAGAATATGCTATCGAAAAGCTCTCAAATCTTTTTTATCCAGAGTATAAAGACTAGAAAACTTTCGCAGCTAGAAGAAAAAACTTGATCCGTCTACGTTCTGCATTTCATTTTAAGGCTTGTTTACTGTCGACTCGGATGTCAGTTGCAATGGTCAGGTCGATGGTACATTCTTATCCAGTCGCTACTGCAATGTCTTTCATCGATGTGTATCGGGCGCAAGATTTGATTTTCGTTGTGCTCGTGGTAACAACGCTTCCTATGATTTATGGTGGAATCAACAAACTAATATGTGCGACTGGCCGTGTCGTGTGCAGTGCAACAATCAATTATTTGGATCGAGTACATCGGCACAACAAGTTCAAAGTGAAAGCTTAATTTATTTCAACAACGATTGTCGAGCCTATCCACGTATTTTTTAATTCAAATAAATATTGAAATAAATAATGCGACGTAAGCGTCGCTGGCTCTCTACTGAAAGGGTGTTATCACATTAAGCATATGGCAAACGATCATATGATATGTGACGTGTGGATCGAAAAATGTTGCTTTAGATACTTCTATATAGTGAAAATAACCGAAATATATCAATATTTCACTTGTCCAGAAAGTTAGAAGCATATAAATAATTGAAATAATTCACATGATACGCTTGATTCAATACGGAAGATTGAATATAAAAAATCATAAGATCAGAACAGAAATCGATAACCGGTTGGATATTCTGCGAACTAGACTACCTAAGTTTATACTTCATTCACATTATGATTATTTAGTTTAAAATTCAGTCTTATGATATTAGATATATGACTGTTAGGATCCAACAGTATCTTCTTCTGACCGGTTTTTCTGTCTGTGTGCCTTCTTTTATTTTTCTTCCTCTACTTGGTAACTGCTCTGTATTGTAATGCATTTAGATGAAATATTCTTTGAAAAGTTCTTCATAGAAAAATGACTGAAATTAATCGAACGTATTTTCACTTGAATCATACAAAATTCAAATGACAACTTCAATTAAAGTTCAGTCAGCTTTAGTTTATTCTAAAAAAGACAAAATGTGTTGTACTTTTTCCAATTTCGTAAGATCGAAAGTATATCCATGAATAATAATCGAATAGTTTCGACGTTGCTCAAGAGCTCATCAGATTGCATTAAGAGGGCCCCTTCCCAAAAAATGTCAATTTTCGTCAAATTTATCGATTTTGTGATTTACAGTCCGTTAGATAGAGCTAAGTGTCTACTTTCGAATGCACTATCGTTTATTGATTTTAAGATGAGATTTAAGAATATTGCATAGGCTTGTCTGAACCTTCCATAGGAGAAAATAAGGTTTTTTCTAAAAAGTTTTGGTTTTTTCTCAAAATAGGATTTTCGATTTTTAACTTTCCGTGCGTCCCAGATTTCTCCGCCATTTAAAACGCTAGAAAGCTAGACTTGATGTCAAAATGAAGGCAAAAATTAGCTCTACAACTTAACAGAGTCAGATTTTTCGATTTTTTCATAAATATTTACAAGAAACTAACTTTTCTGGAGCTATTCCCATCGGCTTTTTCATATTTCATCAGAGAAATTTTCTTAGAGCACAAGCTAGAAGAGAAACGAAAAATCGAGCCCTGTTAAGAGACGTTCCATGAGAAAATCAAAAAATTCCAATTATCGAAAAACATGGGGGTCAACCGATTTTGAATCTGACCTCATAGGAATTTGGGCCTTAGTGTACCATATATAAATCCAAAATATTATGGCCTAAAGATCTACCTATAGTTGGCTAGGACTGATGAACCTGACATACCCTAAAAAATACCGTCAAAAAATGCAAAAAATTCAACTTTTAGTTTCGCTGAATTTTTTTCTTAAAATTTTTCTACTATTCAAACTGAATCATATACCAATCGATAGAGCTTGAATTGCTCTACAAAATGGTATATATGACATTTCTCCTCAACCTCGATATTGAAGACAAAAAGTCAAAAAACATTGTTTTTTTTTCATATACGATTTCATGATTTTTTCAGTATTTTGATCAAATACCTAGGTCAGAAATCGAGTGCCAAAATAAATTATACACCATTTTGTAGCCCATTTAATTCTGCATCGAATCATATATAGGACGTTGCTAAACAACGTTCAGCATTTGAGATGACTATACTCATATTTTGTCTTGTTTGGCAAAATCAGATGTCATATCGGATTCACGTCGGATTCATATTTGAATTTTTTTTCTTAAAATTTTTCCACTATTCAAACTGAATCATATACCAATCGATAGAGCTTGAATTGCTCTACAAAATGGTATATATGACATTTCTCCTCAACCTCGATATTGAAGACAAAAAGTCAAAAAATGTTGTTTTTTTTGCATATACGATTTCATGATTTTTTCAGTATTTTGATCAAATACCTAGGTCAGAAATCGATTGCCAAAATAAATTATACACCATTTTGTAGCCCATTTAATTCTGCATCGAGTCATATATGGGACATTGCTGAACAACGTTCAGCATTTGAGATGACCATACTCATATTTTGTCTTGTTTGGCGAAATCACATGTCATATCGGATTCATATTTGAATTTTGTTTTCTTTAAATTTTTCCACTATTCAAATTGAATCATATACCAATCGATAGAGTTTTACTTGCCCTACAAAATGATGTATATGACATTGTTCCTCAGTCTCAATGTTGAGAACAAAAAGTCAAAATATTGTATTTTTTGACAAGATATAATTTTTTTTCTCCCAGTATTCTGATGAAATATCTGTATCGAAAGATGAATGCCAAAACAGAAATAGCATCATCTTATAGCCCGTTCAATTCTGCATTCAATAATGTATTTCACATCGTTTTGAGATATTCTACAAGTGAGTCACTAAGACTCAAACATCAAGAACTGATATCGTATTTAGTTATAATCCTTCATGAAAAGCATTTTTTAAAGTATATTGCCAAATTTTGTCTATATATTTCAATCAGGCAGGGTGTGGGTGTGGGTGTGGGTGTGGGTGGGTGTGGGTGTGGGTGTGGGTGTGGGTGTGGGTGTGGGTGAGTGTGGGTGGGTGTGGGTGTGGGTCTGAGTAGGTGTGGGTGTGGGTGGGTGTGGGTGGGTGTGGGTGTGGGCGTGGGTGTGGAAAGCAACATCACACCTTACACCTACATCGACACCCACAACACCCACAGCTCACACGCGCAATTACACTCACACCCAGCCACCAATACAGGGTTCCCGATGGTTTTTGAAAGTGGAAGGGTTTAAAAATTTCGCAGAAAGCCCATAATGGTTTCGCAGAAAGTCTATAAGTTTCTCGCAGAAAGTCTACAATTTTCTCGCAGAAAGTCTACAATTTTCTCGCAGAAAGTCTATAATTTTCTCGCAGAAAGTCAATATTTCTGCATAAAAAAGAAAAAGTAAAAAAAAAAGAAAAACAAAGTCTTTCTGCTAGAAATTTCGCAGAAAGCGCCACCTTTGGTTTAATTTTATTTCAGGAAGTGAAACAGCTTTCTGCTGAACTGAACTTAAAAATTGTCGCAGAAAGTATTATAAAAAATTTTGGCAGAAAGTCTAAAATTTCGGGGGAGGGGAAGCCCCTCTCTGCCTCCTTGATGGGGAACCCTGCACCCACACCCACCCCACCCACACCATTCTCGTCTTTTAATTACATCAGTACTCTAACTATTCCTCTAACAGAGGGACGAAGAAAGCTAGTTTGCTTCTTTTTTTGTTCTACTATCTACACTGGTGTCCGGACATTTTACAGAAGCCATTAAAAAAAAGCCCTTTTTGTTTTTTTTAGTGGTCTATTCCGAGTGTTGCTCCGCATTTTTCTGAGAAAAATTCAACAGTTAAAAGAAGAAAGCTAGTTTACTTTACTTGTTTTTTATTTTAGTTACTGCTATAGTTGCCGAAGATTTTACAGAAGCAATAGAACAAAAAGAACTCTTTTCTTTTTTTCTTGTTTCTTTTAGTTGTCTGTTCCAAGTGTTGCTCCGCATTTGTCTGAGAAAAATTCAACAGTTAAAAGAAGAAAGCTAGTTTACTTTACTTGTTTTTTATTTTAGTTACTGCTATAGTTGCCGAAGATTTTACAGAAGCAATAGAACAAAAAAACTCTTTTCTTTTTTCTTGTTTCTTTTAGTTGTCTGTTCCGAGTGTTGCTCCACATTTTTCTGAGAAAAATTCAACAGTTAAAAGAAGAAAGCTAGGTTACTTTACTTGTCTTTTATTTTAGTTACTGCTATAGTTGCCGAAGATTTTACAGAAGCAATAGAAAAAAAAAAACTCTTTTCTTTTTTCTTTGTTTCTTTTAGTTGTCTATTCCGAGTGCTGCTCGTCATTTTGCTGAGAAAATCTAAAGAGTGAGTTTTGTTTAATTTATCTCTTTCATCACTGAATTCTCCTGAAAGTAATCGAACATTTTATGAAAGGAACCATCGAATAACTTAGTTTCATTTCCTTTTCTAACAACCGTGTTCGTAATTCGTGCTTTTGTTCTGATAGCAATGGAAAGGATAGATTTGTTTTCGTTATCTTTGTTCAATTATCCTACAAGCTTTTGCGCATTTTATGATGGAGGTTTAGGTGTAGGTGTGGGGTGTGGGTATGGGCCTGGGTGGTACTGCCCGTGTTAGTGTGGGTTTACGCTGAAAGAAGGAAAGGCCCACACGCTTGCACGCCCACACGTTCGCACGGATTCCCCGATCCACTCTGACACTCACACCCTCAACCTCACACGCGGATTCTATTACATTCGCACCCAATTTGACTAATAAAGGCATGGGAAGATGATTAGTATTGTCCATCTTTAGTTAGTTCAGAGTTCAGAAAAACTGAATGGTATTGTTGTAGAGATGTACTCCTGAAAGGAAACTTTTGAATGTTATTTGGATACCACATAAGAGAAATTTGAATGATTGCGTAACTGTACAAGTATATTCATGGTTCGTTTCTAGAAAAGAAGTTCGACGAACTTAGCACAGATATTTCATTGAGTCGCATAAAATAATGCTGTTGTTATTCGAAAGTCAACTGTGACAGCATTCAATCTCGCAATGAATGGAGCCGCGAACAATATTTAGTCACAATAAATGCTTGTCTTTCATATAGTTTCGTGCATTAAAAGTACGAAGCAACTGAATTTTGTCTTCAGCCATTTCTGTTTACTCTTTCTTTCGATCGAACATTGATGCAAAAGAAAAGAAAGTTTTAAGTGTGATGAAATTCTTTTCTGAGCAAGCAAAAAAACCAAGAAACACAACCGAATAAAGTGAGTGAGTAACTCTCTGCATACTGCAGACAAATGTTGTGAGTCATTTTGTCGTTTTTCATTTTGTTGGCAATACCATATCGGAGGCCTTAAACACCAATCGTGAGTATTTTTGAATAGCAGGATATTTTTTTTTCGACAGTTTTTCAACATTTTCTTA